TGGCGCTATGAGATTTGGTTAATTTGATCCTATCCTAACATAAATGTATATCATAACTTAAATTTATACTTTTCTCCCTTATATATATTTCTTCAAAATATCCCAGTACTGAGACCAGTCTCTCACAAATGTTGATATGAAATTTGTAATTAATTAGTTTAATCTGTAGATGGATTATATAATTGCGAGAATTTATATATTTTATAATATAATTGTAACGTATATATTCTATATATATACATATTTAAGAATAATATACTAATGAGTACTAATATTGATATAGTACTAGTTGATATAGTACTTTACACGCAACTTTGAACATGTGACCATGTGAACATGTGACAACCAATATTGGTTGACAAAGATAAGACACTCTGTGACCTATCTCATTCTAAATGTTAGGTAGATGTCAAATTTCATGACGATTGGTTGGCCCTTTAAATCATCAAGATGTAATAAACAAACTTACTTTCCTATTTATATTATTACTACCTTTCATTCCGCGACTTTGTCCGCGCGATCGAGACATGTTACTTGTTCGGGAGAAAAAGTAGCCTATCTAAGTAAAGTCTTTGGGGTCCCATCTATCTCTATACAATAAAATAAAATTTATTATAATTGATTCAGCGGTTTAAACGTTAAAACGTAACAAACAAGCAGACAAATTTACTTTCTTATTTATTATATGTATATCAGTTAAGTATTAAAAATTAGAAGAAGGTGAAGTAGTAGGTTTTTTTAAAGGATGATAATGGAATGTCAACCTCATTTGCGCTAACGCTGGCGGGGCATCAGTGAGGAATGATAGGTATGAATGAAAACACAAGTCAGTTAGCCCATCACTATGAATACAGCACAATACATAGTTATTAGGGGGAACCACGTGAAGGTCGCCCTGACAGGGAATATTGTTGTCAATGGAACTGGTAGTCCGCTTTACTAGCAATCCCTTTCAGATAAATCCACTATTAAATTAAACTAACATATTTCTGTTATTTTAGTTAACTTTTGTAATAAACAGAATAGCTTGAAGTATGCACTAAGTTGGACATTACATACGAGGGACCGTGACTAACTACACCGCTCCAAGGAAACTGTAAGAAGTTTAAATTGTTTGGAAAATTACTGTGGCCGGGGTGATTTACTGGCGCTATCAATTAAACCGAGGAGTAGGCGTTGATGAACTAAATGTATGTAAATTATTCTATGTTGGGACAAAAACATATATGGACAGATTGGGCAGAAACTAAAGTCCACTTACATTTCTCAGATTTTAACGCAGCTTTATAAGGTTTTGTGATTATCACTTCTACTCGTGAGAGTGACGCTCACTGATATTAGGAATTTCTAAGCCCCCTTTTTAAACTAAAATTATATCTTAATAATTTGAAAAATTTGATTTTTGTAAACAAAAACAAAAATTTTCAAATATGGTTAAACTAACTAAACTAATTAAATTAACTTTTTTATACAACGAAGGTAGCAAATAAGCATTTATCCTTTATGATGGTAAACGGTCACTGTAGTCTATGGATGCTTACAATTACTCTTTACCCCCTTTTGAAGAACCCCTACCTTATCTTAAAAATTAAAAAATATATATTATTTATTTATTTATACTATATTGTATCATTTTAAAAAACAATAAATACAATAAATCTTAATGAAAAGTAATACAAAAGGCAGCCTTATGCTAATTATTATTATTTTTGCTTTTATATTTTATTTTTTTTAACTTACAATATGGTAGGATTAGTAGGATTTAAGTCTTAAATTGAATAAAGTAGTTAACTTCATAATTTGCAAATATTATAGAACTTATGTTATTTAATCCAGGTTTATAATAGAGGTGAAACTATTTGGTAACACCTAAATTCTGATTAAGTTTTCACTAAGCCCCTGTTTAAAAGCGACCGTACTTCAAAATTATTGGGTTAATATCAACAAATGACCTGCGACTTAGACTTCATAGCAAAGTTAATTACAAGTCGTTGCTGTCAAAATTAAAGTTTGCTTCCCAGAAACAAAATACAATCTCGACAGAATTACGATAGAACTGACGAGACAAAATAAAGGAATTATCAAATTCGATTCAAAATTTTCGAACACTTTAAATTGTGTTTTAAAAAAATAAACTATTATAACTTTTAGATTTCATTATTAGACTGTGGGCACCACACAGTTTTATAGTGGTTTTTTTTTTAAGACAAACAAGCTCAAACATGACGGATTTATTAGAAATAGTTCACGAATTCTATCGCACCGTTTCATCATGCCGTCATCAGATCAGTTCGATGGTACCATAACATTTTATTACCATAAAATATACATAAATTTCAACGTAATTGAATGTCAGCACACACCAGACAAACATACTAAAATAAGTTAAACAAAATTTTGTATAACAAAAGCAACGGTAAGCAAGCAGTTTGTAACTTTCTCTTTTTTGAAGTTTTATGGAATTTAACAATATATTATTCTTATATTTTTAAGAGAAGTAAATTTAAAATTAAATTAATCGGTTTCAGTACATTTTATGAATTTTTAATGTAATCTGGGAACACAGCAATAACCCTGACCAAGTCGAGCAAACAAAGTTTACTCGTAATTCTTTTTTCATGGTACTTTTAAACTTTATGTATCTTTATTTTGGGTAAACGTATAACTGGAAAAGAGAGGTGGGGGTTTTTTTAATGAAGTTTGATGGCCATTGCAAGCGATATACTCTGTCAATTTTAGCTCTACATGACCCTCCTAAAAAAGAATATGGTTTCGTTCGTGATCAGGCGAATTCGTCATGATACTCATTAGTAGATTCATCATAACAAATATTCATTAGCACAGGTGTAGTTAACATTTCATTCTCATATAATTAAAAAAGCTAAGAGTCTGAAATATTTGCTTATCTTCTTATTCTTCTCTTACGGTAGGCAGAGAGAGGTAATTTCATTGTTATAATGAGAAAGCAACTCTACCATCAATTGACAACCCGTCTTTATAATCAAGTCTACTACAATATCAAGTTCAAAATATCATATAATTCTATTTATTGTGTTCATGACTTCAAAATTAATATTCTCATGTATTATTATTTAGGTGCGAGGCTGTTAGTTACAGATACGGACTTACAATGGATTTGAAGCGGATTAACCACTAATAATACACGTAAATAGAAGAACAGAACTGTGTCAAAGCTGAATTCCAAATATGTCTCTATTATTCGGTGAAAACTATTCATCGAGTAATGTGTATTTATATAGTTTCGAGTTTTGGAGAGCTGTCATGAATTATTTGTAAATATAAAACAATGAATAGTTTGAAGTTGTTATGGAGATAATGGGCTAACACATTTGGCCTTCTCGTAAATCCTGCTAAATCACAAGCTATCATTATTGGCAGCAGCAGGATGCGATGCAGGTTGAATTAGACCGGGATACCGCCACTTTACTACGATGGAGTTCCAGTGGCATACAGTGAGAAGGTTAAGAACCTTGGTCTCATAATGGACGGCACTCTATCTTGGACATGTCATATAAATAAGCTCAGTAGACGCATGCACTTCACATTTCACTCTCTCAAGCGACTTCAATCCTTCTCCCAGTAAATACTAAAATCATGCTCGCACAATCTCTACTACTCCCAATACTTGACTATGCCGACGTCTGTTTTTTGGATGTGACTGAGGAGCTTCTAAACAAGCTGGAACGATTACAAAATCTGGCCATTAGGATCATCTTTGGTCTTCGTAAATATGATCACGTTTCTGCCTTTCGCAACCAGTTAAAGTGGCTTCCTATCTGACTTCGATGTGATATGCACATCCTTTCTTTCCTTTATAACATACTTAATAACCCCAATTCTTCTTCGTACCTCCGCTCTCGATTTAAATTATTACCACCACCAATCCGTCCTAAACGCTCCTGTCAAGTTCAGTCCAGAATTCTCGACCTACCTTTGTGTAGAACACATTTTATGGGCAACTCTTTCTCGTATCGAGCTGCCCAATTATGGAACAAACTCCCTTCCCACATACAAGAGAGCCCTTCAATTACCTCTTTCAAGAAAAGGTTGAAGTTACATTTTCTTTCCTTTGAGTCATAATCTTAATTTATTTATTTTTATAATTGAACTGTCAAACTTTAAAATCATTGAACTAAATTTCTATTCTAGGTAGTATATTCATTTATTTTAACATCCACTGTATAAGTAGGTAGATATTATATTTATTTATAGTATATGTATTTATGTAATATTTTATTATGTATCTTAATATTTTATTTAACTGTATATTTGTTTATGTACACTAAATATTAATAAAGCTGAAGTGCTACCGCTAGCAACATGTTTTCTAACTGCATTGGGTTGACTGGAAGAGATCTCTGTCAGAGATAAGTCCACCCTTGCTCACAATATTTATCAATGCATTAACATTGTAATTTACAAGTGCAATAAAGAATATATAATGTTGAATGAATGGTCTAAGCCGACTGATTGTTGCACTGTATTGGATGTTTATCGAAACTGAACAAAATACTGATTTGGATTCTTAAATATGCAGGTGAAAGAGAATGTGATTGAATGAGAAAAGAACAGTTTATGTAGGGAACGGAAGGATTGTAATAAATATCCGGACGAGTAGATAAACGATCGGAAATCAGAAAATAGAAAACTGCAACAATAGATTCTAAATGATAACCGTGTAAATTAATAATATTATTGTGCTCGTTCTACAGGAATATATATAGTAGATGTCTGTACAAAGAAATAAAAGAAAAAAAACTTTTGCGTTTGAGGACATTTTTGCACTCTTTTATAAGTTTTGTAAAAAAAAAAAAATTATAAAAGTGTAAAATGTTCTCACTAACAAAAAATAAAAAAGCGCTAAATAAATACCTATTCGTAACATTATATAATACACTTATTTATATATATATATAAAAAAAAATTATATATATATAATAATATTATATAATAATATGTCATAATTTAAATACACTTACCAAATAGTATACTCCAAATGGCATAACTACCACAGCTACTAACAAATCGGCCACAGCTAGACTCACTATAAAATAATTCGTTGCAGTCTGCAAACTTCTCTCCCTAGCCACACTCATTATAACTAAAACATTTCCGAATAACGTTAATAAGGGGAACACTAACAACGAAAGTGCCCAAAAGTTATAATTATGCACATCACTAGCACAAGTTCCATTTTCTGAAGTACAGTTCCAGAACGTTCCGTTTAGAGTCATATCGAATCCGTACATCTCACTGATTGAATCGTTAAAGTTCCACGACATCCTGAGGTTTATCGACTCACTTTCGTTGACTTTTTCATTTATAAATGGCCGATTTAGGAAAGTGGCATTAGGATCAGGTGGTCGAAGCTGAAACGCTGTTATTTTGGTGACGTTATGGCAGTCGTCGGCGCACATTGTTTTCGGTAGATCCATTCTAATTTCGCGCGCTTTGAAATCTTCTGTGTCCCCATTCATTATTCAAATTTAGTCTCTGAGCATACGGTTTACTTGATTAGATGGAGGTATAGAGTGACGTTTCTGCGCCACAACGCGGTGCTTTTGTGATATTCGCCTCCATGCTGTCGGCTGCCGCTCATTATTTTCATTCACCATTCTGAAACAGAATTAATTAGCCTTTATCAACAATTTGACTTCATTTCAAGAGATGATGACGACCTCTATGGCATAGTGGTTAGTACATTGCTTTACGTAAACGAGGTTTTGGGTTCGATTCCCTTCGGATTAATTTAGGAAACGAACTTTTCAAAACATTTCGCGTTATGGCCAACATTGATTCAAAGTTTTAATATGTATTAAATTATACTATATTTATTTTATACTCTACTATTTACTACTCCAAAAGGGTTTACGTATTTATTTATCATCACCATCATCATATCAGCCTTATCCTGTCTACTGCTGAACATAAGCTTCGGCTTTGGGGGGTTTTGCCAGTAGTTGCCACGCTTGGCTGATGGATTGGCAACCGCAGTTAGGCTTTCGTGATGTTTTAAGAGAGATGCTGCTGCCCAACCCACGTTCTCCCTTAGTCGCCTTTTACGACACCCTCGAAAAAAAGGAAGGGGTGGCCTATTCTATGCCACACGGCTAATATATATTTGGTTTTTATTTTAAACTAAGTTCTGAAATGTTCATATTAATTACATTTAATTAAGTTTAAAAGTCGACAAAGTTCTTCTGTTCCATTTTGTAATTATTTCGAATGTGGACGTTCTGAGTTCCATTGCCTTGTTTCTCATAACACAGGGTACTCTAATTTGCGGACTGGGAAATTAGTGTGATTAGGTTGCATTTATTATTATACAAGTGTAATCATTACAATTTCTCCCTTGGCCAATTTTATTATACTTAAAAAAATCTATTGTCTGTTCGAAATATTCGCGCCCAATTTGTTCAATTGATTAAATAGTATGCACGCTGGAATAATCATGTTTATTAATAGAAAGTATTGAACAAATCCAACAACGCGGTATCCGCATCAGAACCGCGGATAATGGAGCAAAATCCAATTATTGCGGATCCATAATGGTTTGTGTTGGCCGCGACGGCTCATCAATCTGATAGCTGTCCTATTTGATTTCGGCACTGACATGAAAAATGTATTCGACTAGTGCTTAAGGATAAGTAGATCACAATTCTTAACCGAAGAATAGAGTTTGATTTATAACAATCAATAAAATATTAAAAAAAGAAGCTATTTGAATATTACTAGAGGGAGACTTTGTACAAAAGTCTTCAGATTGGGTACTCTGTCCCACTAGTGTAATTGTTGTGATGCATCTGCACTTACGTGACTGTGTTTGGCAACATAGTTTATACCGTGATGCTCATGGTACTATCCATGTTTATAGGTGACAATTACAAATTTCAGGGGAAAAGGGATTGTTAGTAATAGAGTCTAATAGTCCCATAACTAGTAATATACTCTATCAGGTCCTGGAACCCATCGTGGTTAATTCTTGTCGAATTCGTTACGATAGGCTAACTGAATTGTACTCATATTCACCTATCATCTCTCACTGGTGCCCGCCACTGTATTTCGGTATCGCAGGTGGGATTACCATTCAATTTTCATTTATTAAAAAACCAAATCGTCGATAAAAGTGCCGGATTAAATAATTTGTTTTTAAAATGCTTAGAATGTTAAAAAATCTAATAGCCTATCTGATAAAAAGTAGTAACCGATGCCTATAGACATGTTGATATTACGATCTCGTATATATCACCAAAGTGATGATAATACGCGGTGATTCATCATATCAGCTTTAAACTGTTCAGTACTGAACATAAGAGCATGGGGTGTTTTGCCAGTAGTATACGCGGTGATATGCGGTTGGTAAATTGTAGTGCGTTGTAATATGAGAACCTCGAAACTTTTGCAGACTGCGGCACGGGACCGTGTGTCAAGCATGTTACAGTTGCAAGTTATGATAATAAAATATATTATTGTAGTCACCTTTATTAAATAACCAAATCCCTCGATCCTTAAAGTTATAAATGCCATGTCATGTACAAGAGAAAATATGTAGTTATTTTATAAAAGTTTGGTACAATTATGGGTCAGTTGTCACAAGGGAAACCAATTCTTGTGCTGAAAGCTTACCATGAAATATTTTCTGAAATTTCGGGTCCAAACAAAACACAAATGTGATGTTATGATTGCATAACATACACCGTTTAAAAATATTAATAATGTTAAAACATCGTTCCTTTGGATTTTTATGGTAGAATTTATGACGAATGAAATGTTATGCTCTATTTACTGGGCCGATTTTGATATAAACAAAAACACGAAATTGAGTCTAAAAATTCGAAATTTTATTTTATGGTAGACCTCCAGCTCCCTAGATAAAACGAATCTGTTAATAATTGTTATTACATGGAACAGCAAAATGCCTAACGTTGCTTTCTCGTTTTACTCGCATGTGAAAGCGATAATGAATTTATCCACAGATTCACTTTTCTAGAGCAGTAGCTTCATTAGATATACAATTCATAATTCGGTATTAATGATAGAATAAATTAATAATATGCCGAATTATTACATTTTATCGTAACGCTCCAGAATCATTTTACGGTATATCCAAAAAAGTACTTTGCATATTTTTTTTTTATTAAGTAAGTTTTAAAGAGCTTAATTACACTATGGGCTAAATTATAATTCTCTTTTCATAAAATTTTCAAAAGTATTTACATAAAAATTGGTGGAAGTTCGATATGGACAAATGAATTTTTGTAACATCAGGTAAATTGTATAATTTATTTATGTAAATTTTTTTCAATAGATGGTTTTTTTAATGGGTGATAATGAAATGGTAAACCCCACCTGCGCTATCAGTATACGCTGGTAGAGCACCAGTGAGAGATAATAGGTGACGATGAAAGCAGAACAGTTAGCCCATCGTGCCGATTTCTGCTAGAATTAACCACGATTGTTTCCAGGGGTAACCGCGTGGAAGTCGACCTGATAGGGTGTATTGCTAGCAATGGGTCAGTTGGACCCCATTACTAACAATTCCTTTCCCCCTTCTATAGATGGTTAGCATCCTCTATTTCATCTTTGTGTATGGCGGGTGTATTTTGGCTTAAAACAACAATTCAGTGTGCCAAACATGTCTTCTTGTAATTTGGATAAGAGCCATAAACTCTCGGACCAATTCAATTTATCTTGAAATTATTTTTTCATTGATACTAGTAGTACGGATGTGATGCACAGGGACGAAAATAATGTAGTAAAAAAAGAATTATGTATAAATTGAATGTGGGTAGCTATAAAGATAGCGAAAGCCCTAAAAAGAAATGGGTGCACTGTGTGAAAGATAACATAGCGAGAATTCATTTAGTTCGCAATTTTGCTCAGCAATACGTAATTACAACTGCACTGTAGGCTGCGTGAAATTAGGAAATGCTATAATAACAAATTATCATATTACATTATATATATTATTATTAAGTTGTAGCATTTCAGCTGCCCGCTAACTACATGCTTTCCAACTGTATTGGGTTGAGTGGAAGAGATCTCTGTCAGAGATAAGTCCACCCTTGTTCACAACATTTGTAAATGCATTATATTACATGTAATTTACAAGTGCAATAAAGAATAATAACAATATATATTCACACACTATATATGCACGATTGCCTGTATACAAAAGCTTTAAATTACTCAGCGAGATATGGAGAGAGGTATGATTGAAGTTTCTGACAGAATCCGAAATGAGAATATTCGGAAAAGAACAAAAGTCATTGATATAGTCCGAAGGATAAGCAAGCTGAAGACGTAAGGGGAAGAAAGGTTCTTTAGTAGCGACTCTGTATGAGTAAACGCAGTGTAGGTCGACCACCCACTAGATGCAGTGACGACCTCAATTTTTTAATAACACTGAGGTGGTAAACAAACAAATGCATTGCAGGAAGTCAGTGGATGCATTGAGGACCGTTCCCCGTGGCAGTTTATGATGAGTCCAGCAGTGGACAGATAATGGCAGAGATGAGAATGATTATCTATTCAACGTTTCGAATGATAGCCATAAATATTTCTTAGATCTATATCGTATAAATCTTTTTATTTTTTAATAATGGTATCAATATCATTATATTTTTGTAGTGTTGTGAAAATTATTAAAAATTCTTGTGAGTAAATATATACATACATACAAGTTCAACAATATATCATCATTTTTTTTTTTTTTTTTTCTTTTTCTAGTCTGCTAATTGGCAATCTGTTCCTTATAGAACAATAATCCATCTGCTGTCCGGATGTCAGGTTTAAATTTTGTCAATAAATGATGAGGCCAATCCATTAACCAGCTCTCAGTCTCTGCCTGTAGATCTTTCTACCAGTCCTTGGATACTGTGTCTTTTTAATCGAGAGAAACTCATCATAATCATCATTTTTGCAATATATCCAGTCTCTCATTCATATTAAGCCAGAAAGTATGATCTTGCGTCATTTGTACCCAGCAACACCATACAATACTCTTGAGATCCTCACTCTAGCTCACAATATATTTTATATCACAGTTTATGTTATCGTAAAGATATGCGCCTTCTAAAAAAGTAAAAAAAGGATCTTGGTAAGTATAAAATTTTGGAGCCAAGATATAAATGTGAAAAATTGAAAGGGTTTTGACCACTTCGTCTGAATAATTTAAACGAGTTTCGAAGGTAAGTATATAATAAAATTCGTAAGGTATGTTTAGCTGTTGAATAGTCATTCGATCGAGGTGTTCTGTTAATAATTTAAGATCTTAATCCGAAAAAAAAACGGTCTTTGGTTTTGACCAAATTAGTATGGGCACAGATAACATAATACTATATTAGTTAAGTGAGACCAGTTTGACAATTAATCCTGTCTATTAAAAAAACGATTTATCAAAGTTAGTTAAAAATACAATTCATCGAGACTATTCAGGGAAGGTCAGATAACATTTTTATGTAAAACTACTATCCCTGTAAGGGGCCTAGCGGGGAGATAGACAGGGAAGTTAAGCAATTTTTTTTATAATTTTATCATATAACTTGAAATTGCTTATAAGCTAGCAATTCAAATAATGGAAAGTGGTAAATGTCTAGAAAAATACAGTACTATAG